TGGAGACAATTTTGGTTACATTTACACTTGCTCATATTTTCCAGACAAAAAGTAAATGGCGCATCTCCCAAATTTCGCTTCTTTTTTTTAAAACGCTTTAAGAAAAATAATGGCGAGATTGTGAAAACAGTTTAGCTGGATGAGGAAACTTTTTAGAATTACAATGGAATTATGCAGATAACCTGAATCCTAATGAGCCTTAAAGAGACAGAAACAAAATTTTTAAAGGAATTTACCTCCTCTGCATTTATACATGAGGGAAACACTGCAAAGAAGTGAATCCCGCACAGTTAAGACCTATCGTTTCTCAGAGACGAGTGAAAACATTGTTACCAGCTAAACTATTTTGTTACTATATTTAGTAACTTTTTCTTGAAAAAAGCGTCTACCAATATATCTAGCGATTTGTTGGAGGCTTGTGAAAGCACGAGTTTAAGGTGCGATCACTGATGGGGAGTCAGATGCAGCAGCTGCAGCCTGTTTATGCAATAAGAGAGAAAAAAGCAACTCTCCTGTTTCCCCATTGAACATGAGTCATGCATGTTGGAAGCTGCCAACGATGCCCTCTGAATGAATAAGTTGGATATAAATAGAAGATTTTTTTATAATCAAAAAAAGGTACATTTTAATGTTTTATTTAGATTACAAAAATAAATCATAATAAAAATAATCCTTTTTATGATGTTTTAAAAATCAAGACCTATGAAAGACTGATTCAAGACATTTTAATACCAATTAAGGCCTTAGTTTTATTTTGAAGAATTCGATGCCTTTTAAGGCTTTTTAAGGACCCGCAGGAACCCTGCAACAAGGCGCTTTGCGATCATTTCAAAGTGGCGATTACATCCGCGGGAGGAAATACATCCAAAATGCAGAAATACCTGCGCACACAAGATGGCATACATTTTAGCGAATGCCGTGTTTTTGATGCTTCCGGACAGAAGGTAAAGTTGCGACCAGCATGGAAGGCAACTCTGGTGTTAAAGGGATAGTTCGGTATTTTTGACACGAATCTGTATGGCATCCCCATCACCAGTGTCATGCAATCACACTGACTTACCCCTGGCAGCATCCTGTGAGCAGAGTTCTCGTCCGGTTTTGTTTAAGCCGAAAGTAGTCCGGCAGGTTTGCTAGACCCAGCGAAATAAAACGTTTCTCTTCCCAAAACATTATGTGTTCAAAAGAGTGATATTTTTGCATCCC